ATGTTCATGGCGTTTTCACCTGCCTATCAGAGCTATCTGATTTAACAAAATTTGCAGATATCGTTTTTATATCGGAACATTGGCTACCGAAAAACTGTTTATCATGTTTACATACGTCAATGCCAGATAATATTACAAGCTTAGCAACACCGGGAACAACCAAAAATAACATCACCAGAGGAGGAACTGCATTTCTGATTCGAAATAACAGTGACTTTTCTGTAAAGGATGTTCAGATAACGAATGAAAGAATAATGGGAATTGAAATTGCCTACGGATCGAATCAGTTGTTTATTATAGGATGCCTCCTTCCCTCAACAAACCATCATTATGAGGAATATAAACGTGTGATGCAGGATGTATTCGACTTTTTTGATGAACTTAGTGAAACTGGTCCTGTAATTTTATGTGGTGATTTTAATACAGATATTAAAAATAAACCTGGCAGTCCAAAATCAAAGCTGCTCACGGAAAATATGCTAGACAGAAACCTTTGTAGTATATTTTCGACTGGTAACCAAATCGAACATACATTTCAAACAAAGGATAAAAAAATTAAGTCACTTTTAGATTACATTTTTGTTCCTGAATGTCTTTCTCAAGAAGTAAAATATAAAGAAGTATATCAAGACTTTGCCTATAAAGTTTCTGACCATTTTCCCTTGCTTTGTGAAATTGACATAGCTAGTGTTTTCGCTCAGTTACCTCCCGACTATTCAAGAATCGTTCCAAAATGGAAATTAGCTGACTCCACCAAACTAGAAGCGTTCAAAAATTCGTTTGCTAATCTTTTAAACCCAGTAAATACAAGTTCCCTACATAAGGATAATATCGATACTTTCCTTGTCCATATTACAGCTTCATTGTTAGCATCCTCCGACCAACATATACCACATGGAAAATTTAACCCGCATTTAAAACCATACTGGAAAAAATCCGAGCTAAACAACGCCCATTATGAAATGAGATGTTCTAGAAGGACTTGGAAATCTATGGGATCTCCTAGAGATAAACAAAATGAATATTATGAAAACTATAAAAAGTCAAAACGTAAATTCAGAAAACTACACAGACTTGCACAAAAAGATTGGCACAATTCAATATTTGACGAAATTGACAAAGCTGCTGAAATTGACATAGGAACCTTCTATAGGACAGCTTGGAAAAATAAAAAACGATCAGGTTCATCTTTTCCATCCAAACTTAGTTATAAAGGAAAAACCGCTGAGAACATTAATGACATGTGTAATTTATGGCAAGAATATTATTCTGACCTTGCTAATGAAGAGTACCATCCAGATAAATTTGATGAAAATTTTAAAGACTTTATAGATGAAGCTGTGCAGAACATCGACAATGATCTACAGAACAACGAGAACTTATTCACGGACGGAGTCGTAATATCCATCGAAGAAGTCAAACACCAAATTGATCAGCTTACCAAAGGGAAAGCTCCTGGACCAGATTTTCTCACCAACGAACACCTCATATACAGTGGTCATTTTGTAGCAGAACAACTGTGCTTACTTTTTAATGCTATAATTAGAGAAAAATACGTCCCTGAAATTTTTAAAGTAGGAAAAATTATATCTATCTATAAAGGTAAAAACAAAGATAAAGGTACTCCTACCAATTACAGAGGTATTACATTGACATCTGTAGTAAGTAAATTATTCGAAAAAATACTTTTGTCAAAAATTGAAGATGATTTAGTTAGAAGTGGCAAATCATTTCCACATGATTTACAGTTTGGGTTTAGAAATGATTACGGATCAATTCCAGCTTGCTATGTTCTAAAAGAAGCTATTAGTTACTATGTACATAGAGATTCTCCAGTTTTCTGTGCATTTTTAGACAATGAAAAAGCCTTTGACAGAATCTGGCACAATGGTTTGTTATTTAAGTTGTATAATCTTGGATTAGATCCCAGATTTTGGCAAATTTTAAAATACTGATATAATGACAGCAAGTGTTTTGTTTCATTTTGTGGTGTAAACTCCAATTTGTTTAAAATTTCACAAGGTGTAGGACAAGGAAGAGTACTTAGTGCTTTTATGTTTCTTGTGTATATTAATGATTTATTATATGAGCTATGCAAAAATGGCAAAGGCCTTTTACTGGGTGATTTACACATTCCAGGTATTCTATTAGCAGATGATACTGCTTTAATGAGCAATTCACCAACATCATTACAGTGTTTACTTAACCTTGTAGAAAACTATGCATTTACCTGGAGACTCCATTATAATCCAAGTAAAAGTGTTTTTATTGTATTTAGAAAAACCAAAAAATGTTACATATCTTGTAGCGCTACGCTTTTTGGCAGTGAAATACCTCAGTCTGAAAGTACAGTGTATGCTGGTTGTCTTCTCCAGGCAAATATGAAAAGTGACAAACTTACAGAACGAGTGTGTAAAACTGCGAGATCAAAAATCCACTCTTTATATTCTATTGGTGTTAATAACTCTGACATTCATCCCGTTGTATCCGCAAAAATATGGAAACGGGTCGTGCTACCGTCTGCCCTCTACTCTTGCGAGATATGGCCTTTATTACCACTAACAGACATGCAACAACTTGAATATGTTCAAAGACACTTCGCCAGGATTATTCAAGGATTCTCAAAGTTTTCTCCATCGCTTTCAAGCATATCGAATATTGGACTGTGGACCATACAGGGCTACATTGATAAATGTCGCCTACTTTTCCTTGGTAGACTCCATAGGTCAGAACAAAACTCTGTACATTATCAGATCTATAAGTTTATTTCTGATATTCATGTATCTGAAAAATTTTTTGTAACCAAAAACATGTTACAAACGGCTAGGAAATACAATCTCTTAGATATGTTTGAAAACAATTGTAGCATTCTATACAGTAAAAAGGAATTTTCAAGAATGATTATCAAAACAATATGGACAGCAGAGGAAAATCAATGGCGTGCTGCTCTGTCTGTAGATCCTGATATGTCTTTTTTCAGTAAAATACATACTATGTTGAACCCAAATAAATTGTGGCAGATTGCTAGAGAAGATCCCTCAAAAAGATTATTAATCAATTTTTTGATTCAGGTTTCATCGATGAAAATTGTTTGTAAATTTTGTCAATTTTGTAATAAGGTAACAAGTAACTATAATATGCACTTGATGTTAAGTTGCTTTACACTATTAGACGACAGAGAAAATATGTTTGAGGACATTTTAGATATACTTGATGTAAATGAGTATGTTTTGTTTGAGGATCAAGATCCTGAACTACAGTTTTTATCTTTAATGGGGTGTGTTCAAGGCACATGTTTTGAAAACATATCATTCACAAAATGGAAATGCATAATGATAATAGTTGCCTCAACAGTTTATAAAAACAAAAGTCTGTTTGCCATAGACTGTCGAAACCTGTAATGTCCTAGCAGAAAATTGTACATATATATATATGTTTTCTTTTTTGCAATTTTTGTTGTTAATTAGTTAATTATCTGTTAATTCATACAAACTCTCCATTAATTTGGAGGAAATAAAGAATATCTTATCTTATCTTATCTTATCTTATAGTAAAAAAAAAAATAGATAAATACCGACAGTTCCTTAAAATATTTTCCTCATCACACGAGTTTTATAAGATTATAATATTTTTGAGAAATATACAGTGTATTTAAGATAATGATGAAATAACAAAGGAAATTTTCGGTCACTGTGCCTTTTTACTGAGCAACAGTACGATAAACATGGTACCATTGAACAAATTTAATGACAGTTAGCTTATACACTTTTTCTTTTATTAGAACATGGTTATAAAAATCATTTTAAAAAAAACATCAACGCTAAGGCACGTGAGACCGTATCATCTAACAAAAATATAATTTCTCGGGTATTAAAAATCTAAACAGAACATAAAATATATTTTCTTATATCCGGTTTTATGACTTAAATATTGACTGGTTGGTAGTAATGCTTAGTTTAAAATAAAGACAAAAAGTTGTGACCCATAATGTAAATTGTGAGACGTCTAAATTTCCGATATTTAGGTTCAAGAAGGTAAAACTTTATAAGTACTTCTTTATTATACATGTACATGTATTCTTTTTATTTAAACGCTGAATTCATTCGCTAAGCGAAGTGTAAAATTAAAAAAAAAATAATTGAAAGCTCTTTTTTAAAACTCTTAGAATAAAGTAAGTAGAAATCAATTCTTATAGTATAAATATGTAGTGCACAAAATTAATTACCAATGTATATAGATTTAAAAAATAATTCTACTAAATGTATTTCCTAAACATAGAAGTCCCTCTTAAAACTTGTTTAATTTGAAGTTTATTTGTTAGCATTTTTTATTTCACTTAATTAAATATAAAAATATGCGTTTCAAAAATTGAATGGTAATAAATAATTTCCAAATTAGAGGTTTGGACACACCTTTCTCCAAATTTAAAGCTTACCGGTGACATATGTTAAAGACTATAAGATATATGAATGAAATATGTATAACTGTAAGAAAAATCATGTGCTTTATTATTTGTGAATGAAATATTTTTTTAAAGTGTTAGCATATGAATCGTCAGCGTCCACGTTTCTCTGTAATATGAATAGAGATGTAGATATTTTATTTTTCATTATGAAATTTTCTTGTACGCAATTCTCACATGATTATAATATTGATTCAGCTTCCAAGGTTATCTCTCTTTGCCATCTACATTATTAGCAAGAGTAAATATATACATGATATATATTAGGCAACTCATGGTAATATTCAAATATTAATTTTTGCAATAATTGTTAAATCTAAGATGCAGATGTGCACTATGTTGATTATTTTATAATCGATATCCAATGACAGATTTAATATTGACCTGTGTCACATGCCTCTTAGTGTTCCCACGTTATCTCTCGATATCTATGTGAATGAAACAGCTAAGGCATTCCTTGTGTTTACATTTTATAGTTAAAAATAGAAATGAATCATATCACCATGAGTTTTCACGTGAAATTGCTGAATATTAAATGGTGCTATATAAAATGTTCGGAACATTGACATAGAAACTACAAGCGTTGCTGTTTCAACGACATACATACAGACAAACAGACAATTGTAAGTATGCTAAATATCAATCTGTTCAGATTACATTTGTATTTGATGATCATTACAAAAGGTAATCACAATAACCCTTTAAATTGCACCTTTTTCTGAAAATTTTCATTTTTTTTACTTAAATAGTTTTGATTATTTTTTTTTTTTTTAGGAAAAATGTGTTATGGATTACACTTTTTCCCAGTTTGTGTTGTTCTTGTCTCCTTGACAACGTTTTGTGTGACCTATATTTTGTCAGTCGTGAGAAACGATGTAAACCCAGTTTTACCATACATCAGGTAATGTTACAGGTACCTAAAAAAGGAATATTCTTATTCTTAATTTATGTTTCTTATCTTTTATATTTTGTTTCTTCACAATAATTCATTGCAAAATAAGTTGTATATACCTGTATTTAATTAATTAAACTTTTCTTTCATAGTGACACAGGAACAACTCCATATGAAAGTTGCTTATTTAGTTTTTTCCTTAATATTTCCGCCATTGCTGGTAAGTCTTCGGTATTCTCTTACAATAAATGTAAAAAAAAAATATTGAAATTCTTATTCACTCATGCATACCTGATAATATTTATTTTGAAACTTTTTAATTCGAAGAAAACTTGCCAAAATTCATTAAAATCAATTTACATGTATTTATAATATTTGTTTATAATATTACTTTCTACAATAAATCATGTAAATTATCAGAAAAAATAATGTTTCAGCTTTTTGCACAATGTACATCAGATACCGCTGGATTCGTTTGGTGTCTAACGAAGAAAGGTCACTCCGGTGTTATAACATTCTGGGGCTGGTCTCCGGATGGTTCTCCGCCCTGGGCCTCGGGCTTGTTGCAAATTTTCAGGTAACTTTAATTAGATCCTTAATTACGTCCAGGATTCGTATCCCAATGAGGAACATCAATGCCGGACCTTCGGATGAGACCCTATAAACCGAGGACCTGCATCACAGTCGATGCTGACATGAAAGAGATCCCGCATTGCTCAATGGCCGTACGTGTCCAGTATAGAACAAAATTTGCAGCTCTCTATTGACAAGTGGTTGCGTCTCTAAATGAGTGAAAAATTTTTCGATAGAGACAGGACGTTAAAAATTACACAAACTACTTAAGTACAAAGTAGTTGTAATAAATGTAAGAAAATAATCAGTTTTCTTCAATATGTTTTATCGTACGATGGGCCATTCATATCAAGTCTTTTTCCTAGAATGCTTGCTTTGAAACTGTTGAAATACATTTATACATATTTTAGGGTCCAAAAATGAATAAACTGCATAACGTATCTAAATGTCTTTTAACAGGAAACAAACTTAGAGGGCGTTCACATGACTGGCGCAGCAATGACGATTGGTTTCGGTATTCTGTACATGTATCTACACACTGCTCTATCATACAAAATGTCCGACACGCCGGCCCTGAGTAGAGTCCGCCTCGTAATGGCCATATCATGTACAGTAACAGCAGCTTCATGTATCCTTTGAAATAGTTAGCGATTCTACATTAAAAGTTATCAATTTGATTCATTTATGAATAAAACGGCATTCCTACAAATGGTTCTATTTGATACTGTAAATCATCCGAAATTCATATAATATAATAGAAGAAATTTACTTAACCACATGTTGACGCATTTGTACAGTAGGTATCAGTCTCATAACAATCGTTATAACGTCGCAATGATTTTAACGAAAAAAAAAGATTTATAATCTTTAAGAATAAAAATTACTGAATCATTGTATTATCTCCTCGACTTTTAGATATTTTGATGACATATTATCAATGAAAAATATTTATTTCCATTCCTATGTTGACTACTAGACAAATTAAAAAAAAAGAAGAGTGTACCACTTTTGTATTATATTTGAATGTTTTACTGAGTAATTGACGATAAAGATCAACTAAAAAAACTTAATTGTTTAATAAACTAGATTATTTCAGCTTTTATCTTCAACTTTCCCCAATTGAAATTTATATTCCACGATTACACCACTTTTACCTGCAAATGGTAATAATTTCTACAAACTTATTCGATACTCAAAAGCATGCCACAAGTACGATCAATTTTGAAGCCGATGCACTAATGGTAGATAAGTTGATGTTACAGGAGCTTCAGCATGAAATTTTCTTCTTCAGACTAGTCGACGTAGAAATTTAAATAATGTAAACGATTCTTGGAGCCCAAAAAAATCTTTTATTATTAATGTTTTACTGTAATAAAATAGAATTATTGTTTCAATCAAAATGAGCAATGTACATTTTTGAGTTCTAAATTACAATTGCATATAATTTCTGCATTCAAATAATATTGTGCATGACAAGATTTAAGGGGAGGGGGAGGTGTAGCATGTAAAAGAAGCTGGGTATTATTTTTTGTAACTTTCATGAGGACAATTACGCCAAATAAAAATATTATGTTTATTTTTAAAAATGTTTTGTTCAATCCAATATACAAAAAAAATCAATATTTGAAAAAGGTAATATAAATATTTCACATTCTTTAACAAATTTAAAGTCTTAATCGCCACTTTGGTTGCTAAATCCCAGCGTTCCTCCGCCACCGATCCTTTACATTGGAAATCATCTGATAAGGTGAGAAACTTAGGTTAAATATTGAATGTCACATAATTTTATCTTTCAGAAAAAAATATCACCATTACCAGGATATTTTGAAAATACCCTTTTACTATTGGAAACTTTGTTTAAATCAAAGCAATATCAATTAATTTTTATATTATTAAAAATATACATTTCAAACTTTATCACAATCAGAATTAAGATTTTGAAAGAAATATATTAAAGTAATATATAGCATTTCTGCTTAGAGTTGAAATCTATATTTATTTTTATTCAGGGATACCCAGCACACGTGACAGCAGCTATCAGTGAGTGGCTGACTTGCATTGTGTTCCTTCTATTCTTTGCTACATTTGTCCAGGATTTTAAACGAACCTCTGCATCCGTGACATTTCACATAAATCTAATAGAAGAGTCAGATGGTATCAAGGTCTGAACATTTTTTCTAGCAAAATTAAATTAAAGAGCAAATATTTTGATATATTTTTTGTATATTTTTATTATGTTGTTTTGATTTGAATCTGTTTGTCATGATATACACGTGAATGCATAGTATTGTAATATTTCTTTTGTTACATTTTTTATTGAAAATAAATATCTATATTTGAAATATGTTACAATTTATCTATGTATGGCAATAACTGAATTTAATAGCTCTGCGGAAGCATTAAATGTATGACTTATTAACATTTTATACAATTATCTCAAATATGAATACAAAGATCGTATTTTTACAAAATACTTCATGGTTGATATAAAAAAGATGCTTGAGTTTCTCATTGACAATATGTATGTAATCTTCACTTTCAAACCAGCAGGTATGTTTACACAGCTTTTATTGTTCTACGAAAGATCCTAAGATAAATTCAGGGAAGAAAACTAGAAGGCAAGTAAATTAGAGCTGACTGGGATCTGTAAAAAGTATCTATAGACAATATTATAAAATGAATTTCTGTGCCCTCTGCCCTCTGCTTTTGAATAGAAAATAAAATTGAAATGGAAATTGTGAATTTACTTGATACTTTAACTTTTTACTTTAACCTTCATACAGGTAATATTTATATATTCATAGTTATAGTTAGTTTTTTTTATATAGAATACTTTGATTTTCTAAAGCATCTCGATAAACCAAAATAAATTCAATTAAGACCATTTTTTGTAAGAAAAAAATAATTAATTCAGTGTACGTTAGTACAGTGTAGCTTTCTTAAAATAAAGTTATACTGGTATTTCAGAAAAAATTCTAGGATTTTTTATGATATGATACTTTTGAAAATCTTGCTAATACGTGAAACGACTCCTAGGAATAATGTAGGGGTTTATACCCTGAGGTAGCTTCTTAAACATACTTTCAGGTCTGCGAACAATCGATGGGAATTTCATGGGTACTTATTATGTCCATTAATGTTATAATCTACATGCAGATCTGTTTTCATATTCTTGTGAAGCAGGATAAATGTAAGGCCCTCTACATGTAAAACATCTTGTTTTGACTCTCAGTTCGCCATAATATAAATTGACAACGTGTTATCAATTGTCAATTTTTATTCCTATATTGATTGACTTTTTCTCATTGACATGAAGAGGCAATACACAGGACATAACGCATGTCTTGGACTTACTGGGAGGCATAATAATCATATATAGGCTATAAGGTTGTACAGTTACACATGTAAGAAACGTTAACGATTGAAAAGTTGAAATCACGTTTAACGTGCCTTGTTTATTTTCTCCAGTTTTTAAGATACAATTCACTCCTCGGCTGGATTCCAATCTAATTCCAATCAGAACTCTATTAACTAAACATAGAAAAAAATCAGAAAAAAAACTTTAAAATCTTCTTTTCTTCTGAGAATTTTTTGAATTTTGTCTTTTCGTCTCTTGGTATTAAGCAGATAAACTTAGAACATGATTACGATGAGCAAGTTTGCCTTTTCCAAAAAAAAAAAAAAAAAAGAAAGACCCGTCTCCATGTCCCGCAATGGGATTCAAACTTGGGATGTTCGGATCCAACTGCTTTCTCTGCTACTCGGAAGCAAAAGCTTAGCTACTGTGTCATGCAGGAGACCATTATTTAGTGCTGGACTTTAAACTTTTTTGTTGATCCTAGATTATGCTACTTCTCTTGCTTTTGTACAGCATATGTGTTCGGGAAGGGTGGGTGGGTGTTATATTGTACTTCATTGGATCAATTATATTATTGTATTACCTCAAGTGTCCAGAAGGCTACCCTTGAACCTCATGTTTTCCAACAGCTGAAGTGACATACCATTATAATTATATTATATAGTAGATACCAAGAAAATTTTTTAAAAATGTGTTTATGTGATTAAAAAAAAGAAAACGAATTTTTTCATTATTATTATTGAAAAAAGCATTCCAGTTTCATTTAGCGGAACCTTTATATATCTAATTTGTTAATAATTGAAAACATGCATTTAATAGTTATTGTAGGTCAATGTCAAATATAGCTCTTGTTAACAACAAACAAGTCCATCATATTTTGATACAATAGAATCATATAGTTCTACCGGGGCGACGGAACATTATTCTTCTTCGTATGGGGAGAACACTTCCTGGGTTGATCGGGGAAGGGAAGGCAGGTAAAGGGAAGGCAGGTGGTGGTCTATCAGGGACTCTTCCTCTGTCTCTAGCCATGCATGAAGACGCCCGTGAAGCTGAGTATCGTAGGCGTCCCAAGCTCAAAAGCTGTCGTGCAAATGGTCTAATGTCGAATCCAAGCCTACTTCCTCGTAAAATACGCCTGCAGGATTGTACTGGATTACTTTAAAAGGAGAATAAAATCACAATTAATTTTGTAAATTTACTTTGACATGAATTATATTTTTATGCTGAGGCACACGGATGCTTGAATTGTTATTTCTGAAAGTCACGCCTAGTTGTGATGAATTCATTTTCTTGCGTTGATACAGTTAAATCAGCATTCAATAGAATTACCAATTACGAAATAGGAGAAGACTAGCTAAGGTTTTGAACCTGTGTCTAATTCTTGTGACTCTTTGTCTTTAAAATATGTTCAATTCCATTCAACAGAACTCTTTGTCTTTAAGGTAGGATTCTTCTCACATTTCTTCTATTTAAAAATTAATGAAATTTTCACAGAATCAAGAGGACAATATCACTAAGTGATATAGTGATATGTAGGCCCTACCATATAGGGCCTACATGATGATATTACCAAATTGACATGGATAATTTTAATAAAATGGATATTTGCTAATCCAAATTTCCTCTACTTTTCTTATATTTTTAGGATTTATTAGTTAGTTTTATATGCTTCCTATATTTAACTTTTCCCAATTTTCAAAAATTGTAGAGTTGTCACATAAAGGTACAAAATGATACAAAAACTAAAAGTTTTGATCATTTACTAAGAGAGAAATAACACTTTTTGGGGATTTTTGGCTCAAATCTGTACTTAGATTTAATGCATTTAAAAGCCAACATACTTCTAATATGTGTGAAAAATCTTATTTATTTGATATATTTGAAACTTTAGTCCCTTATTATTAGTTTAACTTACATTTGAAAAATTCGTGTAGTCTTTGATTGCGTAAAAATAATAACTAAAGTCAATGTTCTATAATAATTTTGAGAGGCAGAAAAGAAGATATTTTCATACGCCACCATTCCGCCAAAAATATAGTCCCTGCTAGTTTTCAAACGCAGTTTAATTGTATAATTGTGATGAGGAAAGAAAAATATGATATTTTAAATCTCTTACATCTAAATATATATAAGACATATCAACAATTGTACTTTGAATATTCCATCTAGTCAGAAACTAGAGAAGAATCCTACCTTAAAATATGTTCAATTCCATTCAACAGAATTACCAAATTACTATGAAATTACGAAATTCGTCCTTATTTTAACAAAACTAACTTAAGACAATATCACTTTCCATTTTAACAAATGAAATGTGTTGATTTGTACGTTTGTTTTTCATTCAAATAACAGATACCATGCTGTATATGCATACTTTTTCGGGTTTCGATAAGTTTACTTAAGGGATACATTAATAAGAAACTGGATACTGAAATCTATCATTAAAGTGATGACTCATTTGTTTTCATTACTTTCCATTACGTTTGTTTGTTTGATCGTGTTATTATTTTTTTTTTGTTTGACGCCTCTTCGAGAAAATTTCACTCATCTTATGAAGCCACCACTTGTCTATGATAGGCTGAAAATTCGACCTATACTCGGCATAAACGGCCCTGTAAGGACCGGTCTAAACATCTGAAAGTGGGAATCATATCCGCTAAAGGATCAACTCCTTCCTCTGTGACTCTAGAGCAAGCTCTCTAACAACTGCATCCAATGAATAACTGCGCCCAATGAATAACTTCCTAGTTTTTTGTAGCAATCTAGTACGTTTTATTTCATTTGACGTTCATTTCTTTCAGTTCACACAGTATAATTATATGAACATGTTTTAGGTATAAAAAAAAATCCCTAAACAAGACATGTAATCAATTAACAGGTTGGTTATACAAGGCTTCCAGTGATATCCTTTAAAACAGCATTTTGCAATTTCCGTGGTCAATAAAACTTAATCAAATATTAGCGGCTTTTTCATAAATAGTGAGGGTATTTTCCAAACTGATTTATCTATAGGCGCCGATTTTTTGAATTATGACAGGGATTGCACTGTGAGAGTGACCTGTCTACAGGGTTTTGTTTCCAAACCACAATACTTTATCCAATCTCCGTTTTCAAAGTCATCTTGGCTCTGCTTTTAAATTGTACTGTTTACGAGCTATACTAAAGTTAAATAATGATCGTTGATCAATACCTTAATATTCCATTTTTTTAGCTGACCTTGAATGAATATATTCTCCAGTTAAAAAGAAAATTTTTGATTTATTTTACGATTTTAGATATCTTCTATTTTTAATTTTAGTTTTATTTCTTGTTTATAGCAAGACCCAGATTTTAATTACGTCCCCCTTTTATTCTCTCTTTCTACACCTCCGTGAGTGTGAGGTAAGTGTGAAGTGTGTGTGAGGGTGTTTAAAGTAGGGTATTTGTGTATGCAAGAGACATACCTGATTCTGTGAGGACGTAGAAGCAAATTTCTTTGGAAAGAATTGGAGCGGCCATTAATGTTTTTTAAAACTGAACACATGATCTTGGAGTATGTTGTTTGTTTTATTTGTGCCAGTTCAGCTAATTAAAAAAAGTAAATATTCTTAGATATAGGTCATAATCGTAAAAATTCAAATATTAAAGGACTTATAATTGTAAAATGAATTAACAAAGTATGATTAAAAAGATTCATAAAAATCAAATATGTGCAACAGCTTATTTAAACATAAGTTTCATCCACACAAATAATTTTGATCTTTTATATAAACAAGAGGCCCACGGGCCTTATAGGTCACCTGAGTATCATGTAACAACTTCCAAACAATTAAAACTGGTTCGTGTTTTAAACCAAAGGCCATGAAATTCACAATTCACAATTTTGAAAGAGGCACCATTGCTTATCATATCGGTAATTATAAACTTAGCATGCTTACTCTATTTACTTAATACCCAGAAGTAGATCAGAGTAACAAAGAGAAAATGCACTTCCACTTTATAACCAGTTGTGCACCTCACCCCAAAGGAACCACTGACCCAGGGGTCACATATTTCAAATTTTGCAAATTTTATCATAAAATGGTTGATTAAAACTAAAGAGCAGATTTCAAAGCATTAATTTATTTTCAGATTATGTACCCCCCCCCTCCCGACCCAGGGGGCATAAAAAATAACCATTTTGCTAGATGCACCTTTCTTCATCATAAATATATATATCTGGATCATTGGCATAAAACCCAGGAGCAAAGGTAAAGATTTTCAAAGAGTTAATGCATTTTCACTATATAATCAATAGAGCCCCGCCCTAACACCAGAGCCCCTGACCCTGGGGCCATAATATTCATAATTTTGGAAGTGACACTCTTGCTCATCATAACTATGTACTTAGTTTGTTTATTTAATACCCAGAAGCAGAGAAGAAGATTTTCAAAGAATAATTAATGCATTTTAGCTATATAATCAATAGAGCCCTGCCCTAACACCAGAAACCCTGACCCTGGGGCCATTAAATTCACAATTTTGGAAGAAACACTCTTGCTCATCATAACTATAGGCTTAGTTTGTTTATTTAATACCCAGAAGCAGAGAAGAAGATTTTCAAAGAATTAATGCATTTTCACTATAAGATCAATAGAGCCCACTCTAACACCAGAACCCCTGATCCTGGGGCCATTAAATTCACAATTTTGGAAGTGGTACTTTTGCTCATCATAACTATTTGCTTAGTTAGTTTATTTAATACCCAGAAGCAGAGAAGAAGATTTTCAAAGAAATAATGCATTTTCACTATATAATCAATAGAGCCCCGCCCTAACACCAGGACCCCTGACCCTGGGGCCATAAAATTCATAATTTTGGAAGTGGCACTCTTGCTTATCATAACTATGTGCTTAGTTAGTTTATTTAATACCCAGAAGCAGAGAAAAAGATTTTCCAAGAATAAATGCATCTTCACTATATGATCAATAGAGCCCCGCCCTAACACCAGAACCCCTGACCCTGGGGCCATTAAATTCACAATTTTGGAAGAAGCACTCTTGCTCATCATTACTATGTGCTTAGTTAGTTTATTTAATACCCAGAAGCAGAGAAGAAGATTTTCAAAGAAATATTGCATTTTCACTATATGATCAATAGAGCCCCGTCCTAGCACTAGAACCCCAATCCTAGGGCCATGAATTTCACAATTTTGGTAGAGGACTCAATGCTCATTACATTCATGCCAACAGTTTGCCTGCTTGATGTCCAGGAGTAAAGAAGAAGATTTTTAAAGATTGCAATAATTTTGGTTTTTTGGCCCCACCCCTCCGGCCCCAGGGGGGCAAGGGCCATAAAATTCACAATTTTTGTTCCCCTTCACCCATAGATGTTGTATATAAAATTTGGTTGAAATTGGTTCCGTGGTTTCAGAGGAGAAGATGAAAATGTTCAAATGTTAACACACGACGGACGACGCACGACGGACGACGGACGACGGACGAAAACGGATAGCAATAGGTCACCTGAGTTACTCAGGTGACCTAAAAAAAAGTTGTAAAGTATTCTTTGTTTCATAAATCAAAGAATTTTTTGTAAATGTTTTCTAACATGCATTCATCAGTTTACCTTGTGTAAAAGCAGCTAACCGGTTTTCTGGAAATTGTCTTTCGTACCAAAAGCGATCACCATGTTTATAAAGATGGAACTGAAGACCAATAAGACATTGGAAGGTGGGTCCTAGAATGCTTGTCCGCTGTCGAGGCGTCTCAGACAAACCTCCAGCATAAAGATCAATATCGTCTGGATGTCTATTGGACGAATGAAAATTTAGCTTCATTTTAAAAATATAACAACCGTGCATAAAGGTTTCATCTTGAATCACCTTTGGCCTGTTGGGTATCTTAAGTTTTAAGAATGTGCATTGTTAACTTCACATTTTATTTGAGATGACCTCTGCTCAGTGATTGATACTATGATCAGGTGAGCTGTTCTTGGGTTTAAATGTGAGAAATTGAATTTAAGTATTAAGTATGAAATCCTTTAAAAATACAATAGATTTTTTTATTTAAATAAATTGAGTTTATTGAAAACAAAGAAATGGCAGAACATTTCCACCGAATTTACTGAAAGTAATGTTTGTAAATAGAAAACCCTAACCGGGTTTATGTCGACATGGACAACCAGGAAATTTAACGTTAAAATTGATAATGGCAAAAACCAAATAAAATTCAGAAAAAGATTTTAACATGCGCTTATAATACATTATTGTCACTTGAATGTAGACTAAATGGCTTACAAACTCGAAGTAACTTTTAAAGAATAATTTTTTTTTTTTTTTTTTTTTTTTTAATACATTTATTTCCAATAACATACAACGAATTTTGAGGCAAAACTTCCTCAGAAGCCCTCGGTTAATACCTCACCTGGGGTGCCAGGAGCTCCCTGGATCGGTATATTTTTCAATTTACAAAAGTTTACAATAGAGAAAAACTAATATTTCATTTTCACAAAAAGACATAAATATTTCAGTAAAAAAACATTTCATATTTAATAGATATATAGATAAAATATCAATTTAATTACAACGTATATAGAAAAATAAAGATTATAATTCGTCTGCTAACTTTTTCAAAAGATAGTAGTTAGATTTAACACTTTTTGCACTCTTTGCTATTACATAATACTGATACAAAGACGATTTCAAAAAAAAAACATTGCATTTGCATTCACTATTTCGTTTTGCAACCTACATTTCATTTTATATTTATATATTTTGTATCCCACAATTGATATGACATTATTAAAAATCAATGTTGTGTTATTGAACTCATTATAAAATCCTACAACAATATGTTTCCAGGATAGATTTAAATTCAATATTTGAGATATTTTTTCCCATACTCCTTTTGAGTCCGTACATTCAAAAATTAAGTGTTTAATATATTCTACTTGTCCGCAAGATGTACAATTTTTTGCCACTTCTTTCTTCCATTTACTAACATGATAATTACAATTCAGTTGGTTGTGTAAAAGTTTAAAATTGAATTCTGCTATCTGTTTATCAAAAATATTTAGTATCTTAGCTGTATAGACATCTTTCCATTGACCATTCATTATATTGAATTCTTTTGACCATTTAGTTTCCATTATTGGTTTTTGTTTCTTTTTAGAAAGTAAAATTTTATAATAAAATCCCGATTTTTCAAATTTTGGATTTATACTTTTCCCTTGAAAATAAAAATACGGGTTTTGTATATTAGTGTTCTTTACATTACAATAATCTATATGTAGTTTTTTAATTGCTTTTTTCATGATAAGATATTCACACAAGTAATTACTCTTTGATTTAATGATCTCTTTTACTTCCGTAACATTTTTCATACCTTCCGTTGTAAACATATCTTTTACATATAAAATACCACTTTTTGCCCAATTTTTTAAGTATAATGGTTTGTTATTTTGTGTAATGAAACTATTAAACCATAGGTTTTCTGTTATTTTATTTCGTGGTGATGTCAACATTTTACACTCGTTAAAACTACAGAAGATTTCTTTATAAAAATTTGGGAATTTATTTAAAATATTGAAATCAGTCGGATTTTTTATATTGCTGCGTAGCAGATATTCAAAATTTATTCCATAAGATTTTAAAGCGTTATCTAGGAAAATTCTAAGTGAGGAATTTTTATTATATAGTCTTTTGATCCATCCCGCTTTTACGCTTTTAAGTTTGCATTCTATATCAATTAGACCAATACCGCCTTCATTTACTGGTCTTATGAGTGAATTCCGCTTAATTCGCTCTCTCTTATTCCATAAAAAATTGTAAATAATTCTATTTAAATTCTTAATGTAGTCAACATCTGGATTTTCAAGAACTGTGAATGCATATACTAATTTAGATACTATAAGTGAATTAATAACGGTACATTTTCCGAAAAAAGTTAAACTTCTAGTTCTCCATGAATCTAATATTTTTTCAAATTCCTTAAGCTTGTTTAGCCAATTTCTTTCATTATTAGATACTTTGTCATGTCCTAAGATAATTCCCAATAATTTAATAGGTTTATTTGTCATTTTAATTCCTTCTACCTCTTCCCATGTGTTTTTAAGCGGTCCTAAGAGAATACCCTCTGTTTTTTCTAAATTTAACTTTGTACCAGACATTTCCCCAAAAGATTTTATTACTTTAATAGATTCTTTTAAGGATTCCTGATTTTTCATTGGCAATGTGCAGTCATCTGCATGTTGTAAACATTTTATTTCACTTGATTGTCCGATTTTGAAACTTGTATATTTTCAGAAGCATTTAATTTTAACACCAGGATTTCAATAACAAAAAGAAAAAGCAATGCTGAGACGGGACACCCTTGTCGAATGCCTCTTGACATTGTACATTTTCTAGTTAACCAGTTATTATTTTTAACATGAAAATAAGGATTTGTGTATAAAATTTTGATCCATCGAAGGAAATTCTCTCCAAAGTTGAACCTTTTAAGAGTTTGAAACAAGAAAGTCCATTCAACTGAATCAAATGCCTTTTGAAAATCAGCAAACAATAATATTCCTTCCTCATTATTTTCTTCGCAATAATTATATATATCCTGTATTAATCTTGCATTTTCACCGATAAATCTTCCCTTAATATACCCCGTTTGATTATCATTAATGAGTTTGTCCATAATAGTTTGTAGTCTTTTTGCAAATACGAAAGCTAAAATCTTATAATCGCAATTCGTTAAACTAATAGGGCGATAGTTATCAAGATTTGTCAAGCTCCCTTTTTTGTGTATGAGTGATAAAACAGAAGATCTTTGTGAAGAAGATAATTCGCCTTTTTCAAATGATCTCACTAGGCTTTCATATAAATAAAATTTTACATATTTCCAAAACATTTTGTAAAATTCCACGGGAATTCCGTCTAATCCCGGTGATTTGTTTAATTTCATATTATAAACAGCTTCTGCACATTCTTCCATTGTTATAACTTTATCGCAATTTTCTCTATCTACATCAGATAGGTAGTTAGTAAGTTCGGTTTCTTGTAAATATCTTTTTACATCGTTAATTGATACATTGCTAGACGAGTATAGTTTTTCATAGTATGAACTAAGTGTATTTAAAATTTCTTCTGTTTCATATACACATTTATCTCCTACCGATAATTTATTTATGACATTATGTGATTGGTGTTTATTTTCTAGTCTTAAAAAATAGGAGGTGTTTTTTTTCACCGTCATCGATCCAACGCGCTTTGTATCTCACCCTTGCTCCTTTTGATTTATATGTGTATAAATTGTCTAATTCTTTTTCCAATTGCTTTTTATGTAGCATATTTATATCATTTGACTTAGACATTTCAATTTCTTCAATTTCCTTTTCTATTACTTTAATACGATTGTTTATGCCTTTGTTTTTCTTTTTTGAATATTCAATGCATAACTCTTTTATTTCATATTTAATCATTTCCCAACGTATTTGTGGATCTGGTTGGTTATTAATATTTTCAGGCAGATTTTCGAAAAAGGTTTTGATAATGTTACAAAATTCAACATCCTGTAAAATTGACGTATTCAATTTCCAAAAACCATTACCTCTTTCATTTTTTGAGAGGGTGCAGTAAAAAATAAAAGACCTATGGTCACTCATTCTAGTATTTGAAACATCTGGAGGTTTTCTAAGTTATATTTTTTCGACAGGATAACATAAATTCTCGGAAGTGAATATGTAATCAATTCTACTTTTAGGCTTATTATTTGATGACGGAGGACGGTGTAGTGAGAGTTTACCCCGGTGTCCGGTTATCCGATGATTACGACCCCAATCTGAGGCCCTGGTAAGATATAATGTTAATGTTAAAGAATAATTATTACAAAACTTTATATGGTATATGCATATTGCAATGCCAACAAGAGTCAGAGTCTCAAAAATCTCTTGTTTGTGCTAAATTGTGTAAATTGTACCGGGGTATTTTGTTTCTTGTAAGTTTCTGCAAGCTGAAGTACTAGTGTGGTTTTTAAGAGAGGGGGCAAATACTGGTCATAATATAATATATCCCTTCGATGACACGAATTCTGAATCTTTTCAGTGGTCTGAATTTATTTTTTTTTTCAGGTTATACCTGACAATAGACACTTACCTGTAAGTTCTCTGAAGCGCTGCTACGGCCTGCCGAGAATGATCGACCAGTCCCCCACGGACAGTGGCAAAGAAACGCGCTCTCGGGAGTCCACAGAACTCTCTGTAAGCGTTGTAGGAAGGTATGCCGTGATCTCGGCCTCTCTGGATGTTCAAAGCTCCCAGATCAAACGACAGTGTTTCTGATGGAGGCATTCCATCAAACTCTGGAAATTCAAACAATCTATTTCTGATTCCATCGACCAAGAACCTGTCTGACCTGGATTTTTGTGCTCTTGACATCCAACGAGCCATGTACTCATATCCTCCATTATACATCAGGTCAGGACGTTCAAAATGCTTACTCACTTCAAATTCTTTGACATGCCCAGTGCCATAGTCGTGACCTACAACATTTCTGACTAAACTATGACCCATACGATAAGCTGCAACGCCAAAAGCATTAATGGTTCTGGGATCAATTCTACTATTATATATATCGTTGTGTCCCCTTCGTCGTGAACGAAGATTGAAAAAATTCCTCGTGTACTTATCAAGTAATACAGCCAAAAATTCGTTATAGGTAACGTGCTGAAGCTCTGCAACTACAATTCTTTTAGCTTCTTGAAAAAGAAGTTCATCATCTTGAATCCCCGTAGCTTGTCTTAACGCGTCGGCAATGAGGTTATGACGTCTTAACCACGTGATATGAGGAACAGTTAATGTAGGTGTTTCACTTGGCCTGTGATCGCCTGTAAAAATTGTAAACAAAAAATCATAGGAATAATTAGATAAGGCACTTATAGAAGTTGTAATATTCATGATTTGACTTTTGATAGGGGGAGGAATTATGCACATTAGATGTTGTAAATTGGTACTTTTTAATATAAATTTTACTTAGTTGTCAGGAATTTTAGAAATTTTTATTATGACTGTTTCAGGTTAACAGATATACAGGTAAAATAAAAGAATATTCTATTGTAATTTTTTTTTCTAAATTTAAATGAAAATTGCTTGATAGTTCAAGAGAAAAGGGTAAACTTGTTTACTTTTAGATTAGTAATACAGTACACAAAGTGACACACAGTAATAGTTGATCGAAGTAAAGAGTGAAATTTAAGATTTTATAATAGTTTCTTTAAAGTTTAAATATAACAATAATATTACTTTACCAGCCATGAAACAAGTGTATTTTGTAACAATTCCCCTAGGACATCCTTTCTCGCGACGTGGAGGAAGATTTTGATAGTTTACCGCAAGTCTCCCACCAAATGAACCTGAAGTGAATATTTCAACCATGTCAGTTCTACTTTCCCTTGCACATTTAAACAGTTAATTTTCATAATTTTCTCATTTTACTAATTTTGCTCAGTTGAGCATGGTATCCGATCCCACCTGTGATGTTTCTGGAGGTCTGTACTTGTTTTGCTTCCGATTTGTATTGTTTAGATACACTTCAAGCTTCCATGCTGTTCGTTATCTCCATATGTTACTCGAAGAAAAAATCTTACGTAATCCTCCCCTTAATTTCCTTTCATCGATACAAGTAGATCCATAGACCATAGAGCCATCCACAAAGGCTGTTCTATCGTTCATCTGCTCACGGACATCGGTACCTAGAAATTTACATCAATAACCTAAAAGTGCTGTATAGAATTTCAGCTTGTATTCTTATTCTTTTTTTTCAGAATCTTTCTGATAATAAAAAGATTCCTACCTGCAGCACAATTTAATGAGGGTCCACCAAAATGACGGACAAAATTCATACACGTTTTTCCTCGGTAAAAGGGATCTTCCTTACTTATTTCGATATTGAAGCAATGTTCAGGATAATTCCTATAAAAGATGTGTTTTTGTATTTAAATTAAAAACATTTTTAATTGAATGGTAAGTAAAAGTAATTACAAATTTTGAGCCGACCTTTTTAATACACTGTGTATTTTGAAAAGATGATAATTTATCAAAATCGATCAATTAGTTAATCATGATGCAAAATATCAAACCAGGTTGCTTTTGTTAATTAACTGAACACTATTCATTTCTGCATATAGTATTTGAAAAAAAGAAAACATTACATCGGAGGAATGTAAATTGATGCCACAAAGCAGTTTCAGTTCTTTTTTATCATTATCTTTCAAGTTATAAAAGCCATTTAAGAGCTTTAAGAGCAGTTTTCAGGAATAATTCAGAAATGACAGACTGATATAGAAGTCTGAAATTAATAATAAACTCTTATGAAGATGGTTTATTATGGTGGCATATTTCTGCACCCTAGATGCAAGATAAATATGTTAACATGCAACAGAATAACACGCGAGTTAATTACAAATGGCATACAAGATATTTATGTCAACATGTAAGATAAAAAGTCGCGCATCAACATATATATCTCGCATGATAACATAGTTCTCTTTCACGTAGGCATAAATAAGTCGCATGATGACATAATTATCTTTCATGTCGACATGAATATGTTGCATGTCTACATAACTATTCTGCATGTTGACATGTGTTAGTCGCATGTCTACACCATTATGTTGGATTTTGCATGTATGATGACAAATACGGGCGCTAGTTAGTAAACTTCCCCTATATATATATTTAACTAATATTTTCTAACAAGAATGGTAACTGGCATGTTAACATCATAATCAGTCTTGCATGTTTACATAAATATGTCGCAAACCTACATAATTTATCCGCACGTTGACATAAATTGTTGCATGTCTACATAATTATGTTGCATGTTAACATATTTTATCTTGCATGTAGGGGGCAGAAATATGCCACCATAGTAAATACATTGGTAGTGCAAAAAAGATGTTATTCAATTTTATCAAATTGTTACTTGAGAGTATCAAAAGTAATCAAAAGTAGATAAAAAGAGAAGAACCTTGTTTTATTGCAGCAGTCTAAAATGTCCTCGCCTTTTTCATCTGTAAAATAGAAATAATTATTATTTTTCATGTTAAGTACAGTGTACTAAAATTTGATTGGTTTAGACTGTTAAGTGTTTTTGAATTAACTTCGCTGGGGGCAGGAATTCCAATGAATCTTCTCTTCACTCAGGATTCAGTGAAAACTTATGTACCAGGTATTTGCTAGCGTGTACGATTAAAGGCTGAATCAAATTCAAAAATATTTTGGAAAGGGGAGATAGAAACACATCAACAGTTAAATTCATAGAAGGCTATTGTACCGATCTCCACTTTTGAAGGGAAGAGGCAAGAGTATTTGTGCCCCTCATTCAGCTTTAAAGATATCTGAGAACAGCAGAGATTCACTAATATATCACCAAAATAAACAAGAAATCTGTGAGCCAATGCTCACTAGGAATACCCCCGCTCTGATGTGAATGAACACCATCATGTTAATATACACAAGTTCAATTATGGACAGATGCACAGAAAAATATGAAATTGACATCAGATTCATATAAAAATTAATCCCACCATATTGCATGCCTCAACAAAGAGTGTACTAAAGTTTCAAGCATCAGTTATGATTAGTTGACGAGAAAACTGCGACGAAAAATTTGTTATGTATGAAACAGACAGACGCACAGACAAACAGGAAGTTGACATCGGATTTGACCAAAAATGTATCGCACCGTATGGCATGTCTCAGGGAAGATTGTGTTAAAATTTCAAACATCTGCAATGAGTAGTTGCTGAGAAAAGTGCGACAAAAATTTGTTATGTATGAAACGGACAGACGCACAGACAAACAGGAAGTTGATATTGGATTTGACCAATAGGTATCCCACCGTATGGCATGCCTCAGAGAAGATTGTGTTAAAATTTCAAGCATCTGCGATGAGTAGTTGTTGAGAAAAGTGCGACAAAAGTTTGTTATGTATGAAACGGACAGACGCACAGACAAACAGGAAGTTGACATCGGATTTGACCACAAATGTATCTCACCGTATGACATGCCTCATAGAAGATTGTGTTTAAATTTCAAGCATCTGCGATGAGTGGTTGCTGAGAAAAGTGCGACGAAAATTTGTTACGGACAAACAGACAGACAGACAGACACACAAGGGTAAAACAGTATACCCCCCTCTCCTTCGGAACGGGGGTATAAAAATATTCTCGCAGTTGGATTATGAAATCTCTAGGCTTTTTTTTCTTGTTATATATTTCATTTGGCTGGCACACCCTTCCACGTTACAGATTTGCAGAAATAACAAATTATGTAATGGTTATAAGCCGAAAACTGTCCATTATGTCAGATATTAGACGACCCGAGGCGCGTTAGCGCCGAGGAGAGTCTAATATCTGACATAATGGTCAGTTTGAGGCTTATAACTTACTTAAAACATTTTACCACTGTCGAACACTTCCATTGTTAACTTATTGGACAGCCACAGGTAAGGTCTCGTTCTGCTTGGATGACTACCTGGCACTGTTCATCAAGTTAGGCCAAAGAAAAACAGTTTTGGTTTTTCTTCTGTCTTTATTAATAGTAGGAATCATCGAGAGGTATTTTATATCGATAAATATGAACATTAACTTTGTTTAGTCTTATTTATCCGCATTGCGACATTTTTTATATATACTACGCATGCGTTAAAGTCAGTTCTACTAAATTCTTTACAATTTATTCATTTTACAACGCAAGGACCAAGGATGACGACGTACATTTTTATTTCGAAAAAAAACCTTCAGAATCGGATGTTTTGAGGATTCCATTTATCGATTACGCCAAGATGCCTCAGTTCAAGTTTTCTACTGCGAAATCCGGATATATATTCTTATGTTTCGGAATTTGCAAGAAACATTTCCCATTAACAGGTAATTTTTGTAAAGCAATAGGATTTGAAGGATTTTACTCCAATAACTGTTTAAGCATTTTCTATGATATTGGAAGATTATTTCAGATGTATTTTTTAAAAATGCAACAGTTTCTCTTATGTGTGCAGGTTTCGAACTCGGAAGGATTTTACTCCAGCCACTCCTTCAAACAACGACAGACACTCGCTCAAACGACGCCAGACTTTGTGGACAAATGGTCATAAATCACCGAACAAAATTACAGATTCCGTTGATATTACGTGAGCTAAATTTTGTGCTAAATGCGGAAAAAATGGATATTTCAAGAAACAAAATGCCCAAGGTTGTGTGTAAGAAAACTCACGCTTCTCATTCATCTTTTGTGTCCATTGGATTCTATATATGTTCTGTGAATCAAACATTGTGAAAGGAATCTATTATATAGCAATGAACGGTGAATTTAGGAAATTCATGATCGGAGCCACGGGTGCGTCTACAATAATGAATCTGAGACATTCAATTCACTGGATTATTTGTGCCATTTTCAGTAGGATTTTTTGTGAAATATTAACATGTAACGCCACTAATTTCTTACATTGTTCATATTAAATTGTTTGATTTGTCATTGCCTTTTAAGTGCTGTTTACTTATTTGCCTCGCCCTTTGTTCTCATTTTAACGTTACCTGTACCTGTCCAATAAGTTGAATCTTATTGGACACCTACAGGTAACTTATTGGACGGGGAGCAGGACAATAATAAATTTATTGAACTAGGTTTAACAAAAGATGACGTCACAAAAATGTTTTAAAATACTGTTACTGTTCATTTTGCGTCATAAGCGATTTACAATCCCCCACTGAATTCAAGAGATACAAACAGTGAACCATGATAGAATATATCAGATCCCCTCTTCAAAAGTGATGATGGGTACAATAACCCTCTATGACAATGGTTATAATCTAACTGTTGATGTCTCTCCACCTCCCTTTTTCAAATATTTTTGAATTTGTTTCAGCCTATAATCGTACACGATAGCAAAAACGTGGTACATAAGCGTTCACTGAATCCTGAATAAAGTGAAGATTCATTAGAATTCCTGCCCCGCGAAGTTAATTCAAAAACACTATTTTCTGACTTCTTCCCGAAAATATTCAGATATCTATATCGATATATTTCATATCGACAATACTATATAGATATGATTTACTATCTTGTTTCGATCGATATCTGAAAATCAAATTAATTATGTAGAAGCATCTTAATACAATTCAAAATATGTAGCCTATATAAATAAGGAGTTATATAACACCTTATATGTTGATAAGACGATAAAATATGACAATATACAAAGTTATAACAAGTGTAGAGCCATTTACGCTTCCGTGCATCTTAATATAATAAAGTTCTGTTGATAGCGCGGTTTCTGATTAGATAAAAAAAAATTATATCGTATAAATTGGGTTGCCTACGTCACAATGACTTACGTCAAAAGCCGTATCGATCAGCCTGACGTTACATTTATTTTGTACAATTTGTAGTCATTTTTAAGGGTCAATCATCTTTTTTCTTACACTAAATGAAAGGAACTTAAAATATAAGGAATGAAATTAATAGCTACTTAAGTTAAACGGTGTAAATTGGGTAGCTATTTAATTCATTCTTTGAATTTAGATAAATTGCATGTTAACACAATCCTGTTGCATACTGTATGTATATCACGTGTATATAATTTTGTTTGTATTGGAGAGGACAATCGAAGTTGGTTTAACTTGTTCCAATCCCATTGATTGTATTCAATAGAATATGTTTAAATCAAAAAATCCTGTACGTATGATGGTAATAATGGCGATAGTAAGCAAGTTTAACAACATTAAAATTAGATTCTCTAAAGACATCGGTAACTTGCATGTCAACTTAATTATCTTGCATGTTGACACAAATAAGTCACATGTATAAATATAATAAAGATGCATGTTAACTTAATTTATCTTGCATGTAGGGGGTTGAAATATGCCATCATAGATGACAGTTCAAAATTGACACAATCTGTACCTTTTGGTAAGGGCGTGGCGATGACGTCATGATCAATGAACTGGCCGTGATGAGTGAGGTAGGTGGAGAACACGGCGCTGACTGGGGTCATGTCCCATCCCAGGTACTGGAAGACGTTGTTACTGACTATTCTAGCGTTTGGAAGGTCTTCACCAGTTACAGAGCGTCTTCTAGGGCTACCCATGCCTACAATTACATTGGCAGATGCAAAGGGGGAGGGAGGTCCGGGGATTGGAACCCCCGTTATTTTTTAAGAAAAAGAGAGGGATGTTTGATCTTGTCTCTTGTGAGTCTGCTGCCTGATTTTTCATCACTGAACGGTCCGTGTAACACTTAACAATTCAAATTTCTAAAATGAATAAATTTTTAGAATGTTAATATAATAGTTCAAATTTCTAAATTTCAAAAACTCAAACTGATTTTGTATATTAGAATTTAATATTATAGTTCAAAAAACCTAAACTTTCAAATTTCCAAACAGGTTTAAACATTTTGATTGTTCAAAATTCACATTTCCAAAACGATATTGGTATTTTAAATCTTTGAGTTTTTAATCTACCGTTTCTTCAGAAAGTTTACGCTAAAGAAAATTAATTTCAATACAGATTTACGTCTTTTTAAATTTTAAAATTTTCTTCAAACTTCTAAATTTGATCTTACAAACGATTAGATTTTTAGAAATTTAGAATTTTGGTTCAAGCATTCAAATTTTAAAGAACAAAAACACTTTGAGCTTTCAGATTTTTACATCAAATATCCAAAATATCAAATTCCAAATTATTAACCTGGTTTGAATTTTGAAAATTTCAAAAATACTTTTGGTTAAGCAAAAGAGTATTTAGTTAGTTAGAATATTGAACTGATATTCAGTATTCAAATCGGGTTTGGAAATTTGATATTTTGGATATTTAAAGTAAAATTCTAAAATCAGTGTTAAAGTTATTTGAAATTAGGACATTTGAATCAAAATTCCAAATTTCTAAAAATCTAAAGCTTTTCAAAGTTCGAAGTAAATTTTATATAATCAAAAGACGAAAAATGTTACTGACCTATAGATTGTTAAGTGTAAACTTTCTGGAAAAACCGGCAGACTAAAAACTCAAAAGTTTGAAATACAAAAATCGTTTTTGGAAATTTGAATTTTGAGTATTTAAGGTAAAAATCTAAAATATTAAAATTCTAAAACCTATTTAGAAATTTGAAATTTAGATTTTTGAACTAAAATATTGAATTTCAATATTCACCAAATCAGTATGACTTTTTGAAATTTAAAAATCTAAACTAATATATTAACATTCTAAAACTCAAAGTCATTTTAGAAATTTGAATTGTTTATTATTCTTTACCTTGAATTATTGTAATACGATGCTGACCACTCTCTTTGTGTATTATTCACCTTAATATCATTTTGAACTAAACATTGTCTTATTTTATCAATATCCTCAATGCACTATGTCACATTTCATTTTTATTGATTAAGCCAAAGTTGTACATATGAAGTTATTGAAAATAATACAGTCTGTATTGATTAATCTAAAATCTTTAGTGAAGGGTTTAACAGTTTTGACTAGGATTCGGGCAATATATAATTTATTGGACCGAAAGGTGAGAATGTCGCCCTTGGCCTGCCGCCTCGGGCCACATTTACATCTTCAGGTCCAACAAAATATACGTTGTTCTCATACCCAGTCAATAATTGCATAATAATACCTACTTTCGTATGCTGGGCTTAGAACACGTTGCTGTGGTGTGCCTGATGATCCAAGTAAAGGGTCCCGCAAATTGTTACATTGTCCATCTACTCGTCGGTAAGGATTACCAATATCGCAGGTGGGTCGTGCAAAACAGAATTTGGTCACTAAACGTTGAAATATTTCTGTGACACTTGGATCGCTTGTCACGCGATTTAAAGATTCTCGCAAACCCATGGGTCCACTGTAATATAAATAGAATGTGTAGTTATTTCAGGTTCATATTTTTTATAGATGAGCTTGAACAAAATTTTAGGTAAGATTTTTATTAAAATATTCATTTGATGATATAAATATAATTTTTACGAATTATAACTAAGGTTAAACTTCAATTAAAATAATACAGCTGGATGCAGAGCAAACATTTTATCAATGAACGGATCAGGTTCGATAGAAAAGAAATCACGCCCTGTTGCCTGCTCCCCTCCCCAACCCCCAACCCCCAACCCTTTACCCCCCCCCCCCTGTTTTTGCTCGTCATGATTGGTCTAACAAAATATGCGTAAAAAAATTAGAGAATTGTCAATTAGAATTAAAAATGTCGGTTAACGATTGATTTAAGGATAGGTATTTCCTTACAAAGTCATTGTATGTGGATCTCTTAGTATGCTCTGCACTCGATTTACATTGTTTTTAACGGATTTACGAGCTTGATTCATGTTCGTTTCCTTTATATTTCATTACGATATTTTACGCATGTTAAAAAATCGATGTTTCCAAAATATTGACCCTTTTCAAATAAGTGATTTAAGGTCATTTTTTAAATAATAGTTTTTATAATTAAGGTCTTCCGTCTTCAGCGGAAGACCTTCTTGTTATTCTTAGGTTTCTTTTTCACTTTTATTAAGGTCTTCCGTTTCAACGGAAGACCTTCTTATTTTTCTGTTGTTTCTTTTCAACTTTTCTTATTATTATTATTCTTACCGATTTTGTGCACGCGATTTCTCGTAAATGCGTCGATGGATTTTCATGAAACTTTCAGCATTGATGACAAATGATATGAACTTAAGGCGTTTTTTTTAATTTGATGACGTCACTTCCGGTTCGGAGTTTTTCGCGATTTAGTGAGTTTTAGAGGGTCATTTTGTCCGGCAGTTTTCTCAAAAAGCACTCAACGCAGAAGCATGAAATTTTCAGTGCTGATAAAGCAACCTTTGGAGATATGTATTTGGTATATCTCAACCACCGGAAGTACGAAGCGCCGACGCTGGCTATGGTCCGAAAACAGTCCAATAAAGAATTTCAAAATTTTTAACACCTTTTCTACGATAACCTTTTATTTAGAAATATTTTGTAAAAACATGTAGAACAAAAGAAGTGTAGAATTTAAAGATCTTTCAAATGATATCTCGAAAAAAGGGCTGGCCCCTATAATTAAGGGCCAAGGGGGGCCGAAAGTTTTTCCTTTATACCCCAAAAAGTAATGAGAATTTGTAATACCTCGAAGAAGCAAAGTTGTTCAAAATGTCAAGATTAATCTATTAAAGTCAATATGATACGTCCGGCGTCGTCACTTCCGGCCAAACCGGAAGTAGTCGAAAAACGCGTATTTTTGCCATTCTTGACATGTTTTGGGGTAACAGATGTAACTGGAAGACTTAAAACTTAATTTTCCGTCCGTTGTTTTCACTTCCTCCGGCGTCGTCACTTCCGGTCAAACCGGAAGTAGTCGAAAAACGCGTATTTTTGCCATTCTTGACAAGTTTTGGGGTAACATATGTCACTGGAAGCCTAAAACTTGATTTTCCGTCCGTCCTTGTCACTTCCGGTTTAACTGGAAGTAGCAAAATTTGCTTATTTCTGCATTAATCAACATAGCTTTAGATTATTCAAACATTTTTAGGCGTTATTTCTTATTTTTTGTTAAAAATGAAAGCTACTTCCGGTCAAACAGGACGGAAGACCTACTCGTTGCTTTGCAACGAGCTTTGCTCTAGTTATTCTTTTTTTTCTTCTGCTTCCTAGACCACAACTTTGAGGCCTCATATCTCACTCATTTCTCAACGGATTTCGCTCAAATTTTCAGAGGTTATAGACGTTTATAAACTCTATCAGAATGCTGACTAAAATTTCAAAAAGTCACTTCCGGTTTTGAGTTATTTCCCTTTAAACGAAAATTTATAGGCTTTCGTTTCCAGACAAAGGCTCAGAGACGGCTAAAGGTGGAGCAGAAATTCTACTGATTTTAGATAAAATAAGGATTGAAGTTGTGCACATCGGTTTTTGTTTTTCGATTTCTCTATTCAAAATGGCGCTATATAGCTGTCATAAATTAGAACGCTTAAAAGAGCCAAAAATTACTCATATTTTGCTTTTTATCTTTTAAACTAAAAATATTTTGTTAAAATATATAGAACATAATTTGTGCAAAATTAGAAGATCTTTCAAATGATATGTCGGAAAAAGGGCTGACCCCAAAATTAAGGGATCTAGAGGGGCCAAAAGTTTTTTCCAGATATCTCAAAAAGTATTGAGAATTTGTTATACATCAAAGAAGCAAAGTTGTTTAAAATGTCAAGCTTAATCTAATGGAGTCGTCAAAATACGCCCAGCGTCGTCACTTCCGGCCAAACCGGAAGTAGTCGGAAAACGCGTATTTTTGCCGTTTTTGACAAGTTTTGGGGTAACATATATGTCTCTGGGAGCTTAAAAATTAATTTTCCGTGCGTTGTCGTCACTTCCGGTCAAACCGGAAGTAGCAAAAAATGGCTTATTTTTGCATTAATTAACATAGCTTTAGAGGATTCAAAGCATTTTTGGGCGTTTTTTCTCATTTTTGTTAAAAATGAAAGCTACTTCCGGTCAAACAGGACGGAAGACCTACTCGTTGCTGTGCAACGAGCTTTGCTCTAGTTATTATTATTATTATTCTTTTTTTTCTTACCGATTTTGTGCACGCGATTTCTCGGAAACGGCTCGATGGATTTCCATGAAACTTTCAGGACTTATGTAACATTACTTGAACCTTATGCATTTTTTTCCGATTTGATGACGTCACTTCCGGTTTTAAGATATTGTCGATTTTATGATTTTTGAAGGGTCAGATTGTCCTCGAACGTTCTAAAAAATGGCTATAGATAGAAACGTGAAAATTTCAGGTATGATAGTCCAAAGTCTATAGATATGTAAAATTTATTTCATTTTTATCTGAAGTGCCGCACGTCGGCGCTCGCTATGGCGCAAAAATAGTCCTATCGCGAATTTCAAAATTTTTATCACCTTTTCTACGATATCTTTTTACCTGGAAATATTTTGTTAAAGGATGTAGAACAAAAGAAGTGTAGAATTCCAAGATCTTTCAAATGATATCTCGAAAAAAGGGCTGGCCCCTAAAATTAAGGGACTAGAGGGGCCAAAAGTTTTTTCTTTATATCTCAAAAAGTATTGAGAATTTGTAATACGTCCAAGAAGCAAAGTTGTTCAAAATGTCAAGCTTAATCTATTTGAGCCATCAAAAAACGTCCGCCGTCGTCATTATTATTATTGTTTTTTTTCTTACCGATTTTGTGTGCACGATTTCTCAGAAACGGCTCGATCGATTTTCATGAAACTTTCATGACTAATATAACACCAAACAAACCTGATATGTAATTTTTTGTTTTGATGACGTCACTTCCGGTTTTGAGATTTTCGCAATTTAGTGATTTTCAAGGGGTCAGTTTGTCCGCGAGTTTTCTCAAAAACGGCTTAGGATAGAAACTTGAGATTTTCAGCAATGATAGAGCAATATATGTAGATGTGACATACGTATTCCATTTTCACCGGAAGTGCTGCACGACGACGCTCGCTATGGTCCGAAAAAAGGCATGTTGAGAATTTTAAAAATTCTAACGCTTTTTCTTTGATATCTTTACACCTACAAATATTTTGTGAAAACATATAGAACAAAAGTTGTAGAGAATGTGACGATCTTTCTAAGGATATCAACGAAAAGCGGCTGGCCCCTATTATAAAGGGCCCAGATGGGCCGAAAGCTTTTTCTTAATATCTCAAAAAGTATTGAGAATTTGTAATATGTCAAAGAAGCAAAGTTGTTCAAAATGCCAAGCTTTATCTAATGAGGTCATCAAAATATGTCCGGCGACGTCACTTCCGGTCAAACCGGAAGTAGTCAAAAATTGCATATTTTTGCCGTTCTTGACAGGTTTTGGGGTAACATATGTCACTGGAAGCTTAAATCTTAATTTTCCGTCCGTCGACGTCACTTCCGGTCAAACCGGAAGTAGCAAAGAACGGCTTAATATTGCTATAATTACTATAGATTTGGAGGATTAAATCATTTTTGGACTCCATTACTCAATTTTTTTTAAATGAAAGTTACACATGCACTTCCGGTCAAACACGACGGAAGACCTACTCGTTGCTTTGCAACGAGCTCGGCTTTAGTTAAGGTCTTCCGTCTTCAGCGGAAGACCTTATTGTTTTTCTTAGGTTTCTTTTCCACTATTTTTCTTCTTATTATTTCTTTTCTTACCGATTTTGTGCACGCGAGTTCTCGGAAACGGCTCGATGGATTTTCATGAAATTTTCAGGTCTGATAGAACATCAAAAAATCTAGAAATAATTTTTTTTTATTTTTATGACGTCACTTCCGGTTCGGAGATTTTCGCAATGGTGTCATTTTTAGAGGGTCACTTTGTCCGGCAATGTTCTCAAAAACCGTTGAAGATAGAAGTATGAAATTTTCAGTGATGATAGAGCAACCTTTGGAGAAGTGAATTCAGTATATCATTTTTACCGGAAGTACGAAGCGCCGACGCTCGATATGGTCCGAAAATAGTCCTATCAAGAATTTCAAAATTTTTGACACCTTTTCAAGGATAACTTTTTACCTAGAAATATTTTGTTAAAACATGTAGAACAAAAGAAGTTTAGAATTACACAATCTTTCAAATGATATCTCGAAAAAAGGGCTGGCCCCTAAAATGAAGGGCCTAGAGGGGCCGAAAGTATTTCCTTTATATCTCAAAAAGTATTGAGAATTTGTAATACGTCAAAGAAGCAAAGTTGTACAAAATGTAAAGCTTTATCTAATGATGTCGTCGAAATATGTTCGGCAATGTCACTTCCGGTCAAACCGGAAGTAGTCAAAAATTGCATATTTTTGCTGTTCTTGACAGGTTTTTGGATATCATATATCACTGGAAGCTTAAATTTTAATTTTCCGTCCGTCGACGGTACTTCCGGTCCAACCGGAAGTTGCCAAAAATGGCTTAATTTTGCAATAATTAACATAAATTTGGAGGATTAAACCATTTTTGGACTTCATTTGTCTTTTTTTCTTAAAAGAAAGTTACTTCCGGTCAAACAGGACGGAAGACCTACTCGTTGCTTTGCAACGAGCTCGGCTCTAGTTATATTTATAATTATATCTAAATTTTTATTTATAATTATATTTTTATTCATAATTGTATTTTTATTCATAATAATATTTTTATTTATTATAAAATGTTTATTTATAATTATATTTACGTCACAAGTAGTGACGCGCCTGGCAGGTAGGATTTAAGGGAGCCGATTGCATGGGTTAAAACTATAATAGATAAACTCTTTATCTTTATTCCATACATAAGTTACATTGACTTCAGTGTACATGTCAAGTTTGGGGAAAATCGACCTTCCAGATATTTTTAAGGGACAGTCTCAAATTACAGGAACATTTACTACAGAATTATATACTAGGAAAGTGCCAGTTTTTCGCACTTTACAGCAAATTATATAAATTCTACAATAGACATGTGCTCAAACTATAATATGTCGTGAGAAATACTATATCTCACAATGTATGTTAAAAACCCCCCACAATATTCTACCATTTTGTTTCCAGGGGGGCCATTTCAAAGTAACAATGTATTACCCCTTCTGAAGACCACGTTTTCATAAAGTCAAAAACACACTACTGTAAATCTGGAAATTTTTGCTGAAGATAAATTTTTAGCAAATTTACGAGTTCAATTGCATTCGCAAAAATATTTTTCTTAAAAATAAATTACCATTAAGAAAATGTAAACAAAGCAGTGGTCATTCGCAAAAATTTTAAACGTAAAAATTAATCAACAACATTTTGAACCCAATTCGCAAAATAACATCGACGCAAAAATTTCCAGATTTACGGTATTACAACGTCAATCTACCAATCAGTTGACAAATCGTTTTAAAAATCAGTTATATAAAACTTTAATTATATTTTTCAAACTGTAATTTCTTAAATTTTTCAAAGTTTTATTTATCAAGTGAAAAGCATTTCTTTAAAACAGTAAAAACGCTTCAATTTACTATGATGCACAAAATATTGCGCAATAGGAACCCCAGTCGGCCTCCTTAAGATATATACATGACTAAAACGTAAAAAAAAAAAATTCAGATGGGTGTTTGATTTTAGGGGAACTGTAGATCTGGCAATTTGTACTCAAAAGTTTAGAAACAAATATCGATGGATATTTGTATGAATACAAAATGTGTATCTTACATGTTACTTTAAAATATTGTGACTTACAAGACTTGGTCTTTTTTGATTTCGAAAACTACTAAAATTAATTGAGGAGAAATCTATCCTAGTATCTATAATCAGTCCTTGTATACTGGTGTTGAAGAATCCAAATATGAATATCTTTAGCTTTTTTCATATAAACCATTTAGTGCTAGATGCGAACAGAGTTTGGCACAGATATGATAAAACATTATTGTTAATTCAAAATTAATTAGGTGGAGTGGTTGTGAATCAAAAGAAACAATTGTGCATACTATTTTTTTTTCATGAAGGCAGATGTCCATGCATATTCTTACGTTTTATTAGAAATGGTAACAAACCTAGATAATTGTTCTGCAGCAAACATTGTAGCATTCAAAGTTCTTTTGAAACGATCGCTGATTATTGCATTCAGACTCGGTGAGTTAGTCTGGGAGAATCTGGCCAGGGCTCCAGCTGCTCCCGATGCGGCGCTAGGCTCCTGTCTTGTCTCAGTAGTTCGAACTTTAAGGACAGAAAAGTGAAGATCAAATCTGCTTATTTGACATTCAGAATTCAAATTTATGTTTTAAGTTTTAATCATATTTCTTACAATGCTATTTTTTCAGTCACAATAGTCAGATTTTATAAATTGCTTCTACATTGTTTTGTATACTTTCCATCATATTAAAAATTTTCTACAAAATCAAATGACTGATTAACTTTATTTTGTATTGCATAAAGTTCTGAAGCGTTGAAAGCTGTTAACTAGTTTCCTTATCGCAAAATTATATTATATCATTTACATTTTTATCAGATGACATGTTCCCAAAGAAATGTTTTACTGTAACAGTTTTACTGCTGATAATTTCTTGACTTACATGCTGGAATCTGTCCAAGAACTCGAGGAGCGGGCCTTGCTAAACCTCCATCTGGTGGACCGAAAGATCCGACTGCCAGTGTTCCACCTCCCCCACTTACATCACCGAATGCTCGATCAACAGCATTCTGTATTATAGATTCAATATCTCCTTGTGCAACAGCATGTGAAGGGAAATCCACAAACATTAACAGGAAACAGGCTAAAATCGTCGCCTCCATCTGTACTAATTGTTTAAATATTAATTCTATCAGGTCTCAAGATTTCTTTGATTTCATATTTTCAGAATATTTATTGAAAGCTAATTTTACTCTTTTAAAATATCTGGCTATTTTTATGGGTTTGTTATGGGTTCTAAACGTTTTGCAAATTTATGATATTATGAATGAAAAACATAATGAATAACATTATATAAACCTGCTAAATTAAAATCGGCATAATAATTAAATTCTCTATCATATGATTAAATTACTCTCATAACTGATTAGTTGAGATCCAACAATGCAGAAAAAATACTACCTTATTACCTGAACGTGACCTTCCAGGTGAAGATGAGGATTTATTATTTTTTTTGATTGGTCTAAAAATAGATCTAGAAATTCCAAATTAATGACGTTTTGGAAATATATGTGTAGGCTGATTTTCCAGTGATGGACCTAAATCCCCAACACCTGACCATACCGAAAAACAAAATTTGAAGTAAAGAGAATTCTTTTTTTGTAGGGGTTAATTATTTTTTTTTATTTCAGGTCACTTTTCCCTATTTATGCTGCCTTTCAAAATTCATCCTATAAAGAATTTGGCTTTACTTTTTTCAAAGCAACTTAAGAAGATAATAAATATGCAAATTGAGAAGACTACTGGAAGTGGTATCATTCAACAACCCCTTGCATTGACATAATAAAGGTAACCTATTAAACAAAAAATTTTATTCGGTCAACGCCCTAAAACATGTATTCCAACGTTCTTAAAGCATTGTTACGTATTGCACATTGCAATGTTTACGGTAGCGTCAAGGTTTCATCTGCCGAGATGTTCCCTGAATATGGTTTTAATGACTTCGTTTTAGAGTTCAGAAGTAAAAATAAATGTAAAAATACGTTAAAAGAATATTTCTTTTAAATGAGTCTTTTATAAATTCATTCCTTTTAACTTTTATTGAGTATAGAAGAACCAATTTCACTCAAATTGAATTCTTGTTATATTTATTAGAAAATTTATAAGAATCCTCTTGTCTTGTATTTCAAGTTATTTTGTGAAGTGTATTATTTAGGAAGACATACTCAATTAGCTTTCTGTGTACTTGTATACTGTGTGTATACACGGGGATTTGTCATTGCTGTTTCTGATAATAACCATGTGAATCTCTATTGTCCATATGTATGAAAAGTCTTTCTTTTTCTATTTTAACAAAATAAAAGCATTTTTTCGACTTTTATGCTTACCACAGAATATTTGATAAGTTTTCAAGATAGTCATTTGTATTTAAAGGGGAAGCTAGATTAGAGTTATAGATCCCTCAAACTTGAATTGAAAATAAAGAAATAACCTCGAACTTTTGTAACATTCTTTAACATAAAAGACTTGTCTTGATTCTAACCATATTTTAACTTTAAGTTTACTTCCTTTTCTATATTTACACCCAAAGGGATAGTTTCAAAAATTTTGATTATAACCTAAGCTTACAGGGTCCAGATATCATACATCTAATCGTAAAAAATTAAACTAATCTTGCTATATTTTACTCATTTACATATAGCTCAACTAGTCGCGTCATTCAATGATGGTGCAAACATTATATAAAAATGACATATTTAATGCTATCATTTTGAAAATATTAGAGACAGGGAGCCCAGTTCTTTCTGTTGGCATTAAAATTTTAAAATGAAATGAAAATATGAAGAATTATTATTGTTGTTCTTTAACAGGATTATCAAATACGAATTAGAAGCATTTGCATATAAGTACGAATTTTTATATGACTATCACATTTTGCATATATAAATCAAAAGAGAATTGTATGATAATTACAAATTTACGAATATCTAGATATTCATTTTACATTAATTTGACTATCAACTTTTCGCATATAAATCGAAAGAGGATAGCATGTAAATACAAGTTTATGACTATAAAATGTTTATGCATATATAAAATAAGGTTTGAAATATAGACATGAAAGTTTTTGAAAAGATTAAGACATTTATAAAACTACAAATTATAAAATCAGTACATGAATCCATGTCGAATAAAAAGTTTTATGAAATAAATTAGATTTCAATAATTTTGCACATTATAATACTGTCTTTTATTAATTTTCAATCTGAAGTTGAAAATGATTACATGACAAATTAGATTGAAAATTAATGAAAGACATTTGTCATGGAGAAAAACTTACAATTTCGCAATATACTTTTTAATCTCTGAAATATGTAATTAATTTCAATTATTCAAAACATGTTTTATCATTATTTTTTTATATTTCGTAATTACTGATATTTATGTCAAACATTTAAGTAAAATTAATTACATATTTCAGAGATTAATAAGTATATTGCAAAACTGTAATTTTTTTAAAAAATTTCTCCATGACAATACGATTAAGTATCGTTACTTAAGATGCCGTCTTTCTTTTGCGTTTATTCATTTGGAATTGAATGTAAAGAAATTGTTGAAATATTTTTATTGATAAACATTTAAGCAATGCCTATTTAGAAAGTGAGAATGCATCATAAAGTAAACAATTTGGAGTTGTTTTGGTAAAACCATAATGACCTTTTGATAATGACCTGTTTTTTCTTTTAATCAACAACCAAAGTACGTTATGAATTTTTAAATATATTCTTTGCATGTTTCATGTTTCGTGACTTGCACGAGTATTTAGGAAAAATTAAAGAGCGAGTCTGACTCTAAAAATATCAAAAGAGTTTTTGTTTTATTTAAGCTAAATTGACTTTTATCATTTACAATAAAATTATTAGCACTTATCTTTAATATTAATAATGTTTAAAATGTAAAAAAAAAAAAAAAAAAAAAAAAAAATTGTAATTACTTACCTTACTTGCTTCAAAAAAATTTTGCTGATGAATCTTTAATCGTACCCTTTTATACGTTTCTTCATAGACGGAATTACACCAAAATTATATATATCTGGCTTTCCCATTTTATGGACCAGTTATGGTAAGTACATTAGGGAGTTGAATTTAAATTTGATTGATATTATAAAATTTAGCAAATAAAGTTTCCTTATCCTCATTTTGCATATATGTGCTGATATATTCAATTTTGCAAATTCAAAAATTTCTTACTTTTGCTATTTTAGGAAATTTGAACAATTTTTTTTAAAATATGCAAAACAATTCGTTTTTTATGTTTACAGTCTTGTTAAAAATTCAAATATATGGAATAAGGAATGTTCATTTCAAAAAAGTATACATTTACACATTGAGATACAAACACAACTCTACAGGAAAAAGATGCAAAAATGATTCATGCATAAACTCAGATCTCGATTAAAGAAAAAAAGAGAAAATAAATCGGTAAATGCATTAAAATTGATGAAGCCTCAGTTCTGACCAAACCTAATACAAACACGCTAATTCTAAGAAATTAAAGAAATCATTTTATTGTTAACTGTTTATGATTTATCTTAAAGATACAAACTAAATAGAAATTTTCCTGTCATCCACATGTGACTGAAATATTGCCGACTCGGCGTTTACAATGTAATAATAAACAGTCAATCAATCCTACCATACATTCCATGATAAAACTTAAAAATACAAACTTAAAACTATTTTTTCCCATTCTAATTTACAGAAGAGTTACATTTCAATTATTCAATATAACTTACCATCAAATTATAACTTGCAAATTGTATAAATTGTAAAAATACTCTTAAATTAAATATATGGAGATAACGAACAGTATTCAAGCAAAGTCCATAAAACAATACAAAAAAGGAGCAGATCAAAGACGGACCTCCGAAACATCAGAGGTTGGATCAGGTGTCATGGAGAAGTGTGCATCCCCTGTCGATCGGTCACATCCGCCGTGTGCTCCTTGTTATGATTGGAAAATAGCGGGAAAATCCGTCGTCAATTCAGTGTGTAAATAAGCAAGAAAAACGTCAGTCAACATTTAATTCAATGGTAATTTGAATTTGCTGACAAGGTCATTGTATCGACCATAGAACTTACGAAATGATGGCTTTAAACGAGACTGCTGAAATTCTTGTTTCATCGACTTGTTTGTAATTTACCTCGTTTTAGAAACTGTTCATACATAGAGCATACTCTTGCGTATCGAATCAACTAAGAGATATGAACTTCGTATGCAGGTGATAAAGGTATATTGCTGCATAAGTAAGGAAAGTTGACGATTGAAAAGTGAAAGTCATCATATTCATCATAGAGCATGGTTGTTAGATTACCATTAACGTCTTTTTCAAGTAAAATATCCAAATTTGAAACAGATGTTACAGGTTCTATGGTATCTTTTATCTAAAACTCACCGGGATATATCGTATCGAAATAGAATGGAAATATTTGACAATTTCGTCGATATACTAAATGTCGAGTTGAAGGTCACAGCGAGTGTTTTCTTCTTTTCACGTATAAGATTTTAATTGGACAAATTAATATGTTCTAAGAAATTTTAAAGTACCGAGACTTCATACTTTTAAAACTTTGAAGAATTATTATGAATAATTTGGAGATATTTTCCCACTTTTTACTAAATAATGTAGCTTAGTCAAACATTTGTTGTTGTTGTTAAATAGAATATATTTTTTAGCCTGACATTCATCTAAGCAATCTTAAGATATATAAATTTTGAATGACAAAATCTTTAATTATTTATCTTAAAACGCTTTTCCCTTAGATATCGGTCAGACAATTAAATATCCTCAAATGTCGTGATGTTTTGTGATTCAAATTTTAGTTTATTCGATACTCCAGGCATGCTCTGATAAGATCATTTTTTGTAGCAAGGCAGATGATATAGTCACTGACAGATGGGTTGATGTTACAATGATTTAAATAACCTCGTTTAAAGACAGTTTTTCGTAAATTCTATGACCTTTAATAATGAATTAGTTTGCAAAAACATAATGGTAGTTCTAACTATGGACTTGATATTAATATACAAATATTAGAAGCTGTACATACATTTAAAGCAGCAACAAAACGTTTTATATAAAACACTGTCATATACATATATAGGTGTAATTTT